CTGCGCTAGTCACAGTCCAAGAAAGGAATGGTGTGTAGGCTCCCCGTGAAAACCAGACGTCGACCTACGACTCAGAAACTGTGGTATATATACCATTATATGTCTACATTAGCTGAAGTCTGAAACAGTGAAAAGGATGGGTAGGTTGAACCTTGACCCAATTACTCAAATGCGATAGCGTAACTGACGGTGTCCAGGCTATTCCGAGGTACAGAATTTCTTACTTCACCTGGAGATGACACGGCGTTTCTAATCGTCTGCTAGGCTTACTGTCATCTCTGCGGCGTGAGCTTCAACATAATCTTTGGCTTAAAATCAGGAGAGCTGGACCCCGATGATCGAGACCAAACAACCTTACCAGGGGACAACCCAGCCGTCGCCGCGACAGACGTGGCCTGCTCTACGGACTACGAAGAAACTGATCACGATGTCGAATACATACCCCAAGAAATTGAGGATAATGAGGCATATGAATATGACTCCGACATTTCAACTGACGCCAGCAGTGATGAAGAGACGCCCGAAAACGAAGACAGCCCTGATATAACGGACACTGAAAGTGAGCAGTATAACGACTGGGTAGTGAGAACTTTCAACCCAGACTGCAGAGAGCCCCAGGAACATGTTGGATATTTTGATGCTTTGGAATCCGCATACTCGACCAATATACTCTCTCCCGAAGAGGCAAGAGGCTGCCGCACAGCCCAGTTCTTGCTCCATAAAAGCAGTGTGTGGCAGCCCGACGAGCTACATGAGCCCTGGGAGATTAATGGAGAATGGGCACTCTCCGGGATATGTGATGGAATGCCATCGCGTGATTGCGGTATTCCAACGGTGTGGCCTGCGCGAGGTGGAATAGAGGAGCTAGAAGCGGACAATGGCAGTTACGATGTGAGTCGTCTCTCTTGATAGTCTCGAATCATGTTAAAGAACTTGATTATTGAATGAGGCTGATACGCGGCAGCCACACTTGGCTCCCAACGATATAGCAATGCCGTTGCACCCATGGTGCTTCGATATTTTCTGCCGGCAATCTAAAGTCCAGTTCAGACGAGTTGAGGCGTCAGGACTCATGAATTGGCGCAATTCAGAACTTTATCGAGAGGCCTTTTACCGGTTTCCTCGGGCGGAAGAGGTCAAGAGGGCACAGAACCAATTCTGGCGCCATGAACCTGGCAGTGAGTATCTGGCTGCCAGCCCTCTTTATGTGCCCGGACTCTCAGAACTTCTTCTGTCCGCGGTAAATGGCGAGATAAGTTGTGAGCAATCTGACCAACTTGGAAAGGATGCATTGTCGCAATATACCAAAGCTCGGCATGGATCATCCCAGCATCAGCGGGCCGATTTCTTCTCATTGATGCCCGTGGAAATTCGCCTCATGATAGTCGGATTCCTAGGATCAATTGATATCACCAGCTTAAGGGCTGCTTCTAGGACATTCACACATCTTCCCAACAGTGTGTGGTACCGACTAATACGTGAAGAGATGCCTTGGCTGTGGGAAGCATGGGATAAATCCGAATGCAAACATATTCCTCAGATCTGGACAACAGTGTCTACAGGCCAGGTCAAATCTATCTTGAAATCACGGAAACGCCTGTCTGAAGTCTTGAGTGTGGACTACATGGGACACAAGGATGCCGAGAAGGCTGCTGAACACTGGTTCCCTATGCCGTGCGAAATACCGGACCAGGTAAATTTGCCTAGACTAAGAACGGACTGGCACTTCGTCTTCACGCAGATCAAGCATAGTTGGAACAGGCTAAAGGGATTGCGAAATCGACAGCGGATCTGGGCAGATGTGGAGGAGATTATTCGACGTATTCAAAATCTTGAAATGGCTTCTGATGCGCCATAGATGAAATTATCTAGCAAGCTAGTTGTATATTAGAATTCTGCTCTAGTCAAACTTCGGGGTGTCATAAGTATGATCGGGATCTGAGAATTAATATCAGCTGTGCTCACAAATTATAAAAGGAACATGGATACTCACCTTTGTGGTTGTCTATGATGTACTTGCGCGAGCTGACAATGTCTAGCTCAAGCTGAGCATTCAGCTCCGGCTGGCGAACCCGCACCTTCTCGCTAAGCTTGGCTGCACCACGAAGAGCATGTTGAGCAACGTGGAAACGCGAGACACGATTGACGAGCATCATATCAAACGGCGTAGTAGTACTACCCTCCTCGATATAGCCAGCAACAGAAATGCGGTCAAGACCGGGACGCCCAAAGAGCAAGCCCTGCACCTCGGGTGGATAGCCGTGATAGTTAAAGTGGACTGGTTTATCAGAAGTGAAGAGCGTGTTAAACGCCTCGGTAGACAGGGCGTGCGGATGCAATCCCTCATTTTCAAGGATCATCAGGTCGGTCACGTTGACAACGCAAACTCGCAGCTCTGGCGCGATCTTACGCAGAAGCGCCGCCGCCGCGATCACCTCAAACATCAACTCGACACCGATACCGGCCAGTACCACGTCCGGGTTGGTTCCATTGTCGGTGCTGCAGAACTTCCAGATCGATGCTCCTGCGCGGCAGTGGATCTCGGCTTCTTCGGGACTGAGATACACAGGAGTCGGCTGTTTTGAGCCTACCATGAGGTTGATGTAGTTCTTGGACTTGAGGCAGTGTTGCACTGTCGCCGCAAAGGTGTTTGCGTCTGGTGGCAGGTACACGCGAGCAGCGGTGGGCTTCAGCTTTAGTACTGAGCCAATGAATGATGGGTTCTGGTGGGAGAAGCCGTTGTGTTCCTGGCGTGTCCAGGTGCTAGTTTCGATGTAGTTGATGCTGCTCACCCCGGAGTGCCATTTTGTTTCGAGTGCCTATATAAAAGCATATGTTTAGGTTGGGTTTGTCAGAGGGAAAAAGGGAGAGGGCTCACCATTTTGATGAACTTGGCATATTGCACCATCATCGTGTGAATGATACCGAGGAAGCTCTCATATGATGGGAAAATACCAATCCGACCGGTCAAGGTATAGCCCTGCAGGAAGCCTTGACACATGTGTTCACTGAGAACTTCGATTACACGACCACCTCGCGCGTTGGCAAACTCATCCCATTGGAAGTTGCGGTTCGTGCTATCGAGGACAGCAGAAAGTTTGTTACTCTCCAGCTCGTCTGGCGAGAACAGTCGTAGTGTGTGGGGGTTCTGCTTGAAGGCTTGATTAATGAGGCATCCAGTTACTTTCATTGCGCTCTCCTTGGACCCTTTCTCCGCGCAGAACTTCTTCCAGTCTGGCAGATCTGGAGGAACATAAGAGTTGTATGATTCAATGCGCTGGCCAAGTTTCTTTGTATCTGCAGTCGGGATCACGGATTTGATCTCATCTATGACATCCCCGTCTGCCGTGAACAGTTCCTGTGGCTTGTAGCTAGATAGCCATTTCTGAAGCAGACCTAGTTCTTCATTATCGGACTTCGCTTTTGGCAGAGGAACCTGGTGGGAATGGAACGAGCCCTCAATGAATTGACCACGGAGCTGTTTCGGACCAGACCAACCCTATAAAATAGAATTATTAGCTTGCGAGCTGCAAATGGAACATGAAACCCATACCTTTGGAGTTCGCAGAATCAACATGGGCCATCTTGGCTTGAGAATCGGCTTCCCAGAGCGAGCAGCCTTCTGAATCTTATGGATCTCCTTTATAGCCCAAACCATGGAGCAATAGAGATCCGTATCTATATCATTGATATCCTCCACAAAACGAACCTGATACCCATACCCACTGAAAAGGGTAACAAGCTCCTTATTGTCCATGCAGCCAAAGATGGTCCGTTCACTGATCTTGAATCCATTCACATGCAGAATTGGCAGAACTGCACCCGATTCATTGGGATCAAGGTATTTGATTGCATGCCAGGACCTGTTAATCGTTAGCCAAGTACCGATAAAGAGAGTCATCGACGAACGTCGCAGTGGGGCCAGTTTCGGCCTCTCCGTCGCCCACAATACAAGGGACAATCAGGTCTGGGTTATCCATAGCAGCACCGAATGCTACTGCTAAGGCATAGCCCAGCTCTCCACCTTCGTGAATGGCGCCGGGGGTTTCGGCGTTGATGTGGCTGCAATAGTATTAGCTGAGGAAGCTAATAGGAAGTTACAGGACTGACCTTGGTAAGCCGGCTGGGGTACTAAATGTTGAAATGAGATTGTGCAGGCCCTTGCTGTCTCGTGAATATTGTGGGTAGAATTTCTCCAATGAGCCTTCAAGCCAAAGCGCGGCTAGCATTGCCGGCGCACCATGTCCAGGGCCGACGACATAAAGCATGTCTAAGTTCATGGTCCGGATAAGATAATTCAGATGGGAATAGACCAATATCAGACCTGGGCATGTTCCCCAATGGCCTGTAGAGATATTCTGTCAACTAATGATGGTCATGGACTATAGTTCAACGCAGCTTACCCAATAAGCGAGGCTTGACATGGTCAAATGTGAGATCTTCCTTCAGTAGTGTGTTCCCTTGCAAGAAAATCATCGCTAGACCCGAATTAGTCACTGATGTCCAAGTAAATATCGTCATAGCTTACCTGCCGCGATGTATGAGGCCGCTCGGCGAAACTTGAGCAACGCATCGCAGGATTTCTGATCTAGAATTTCACGGTCTAACTTGACACTAAGTTTCTCGAGATAGTCCGGCAGATGCGACGGCTGTGGCTGCGGATTTGGTTCTTTTATGACTTCTCCGGGCATGATGAGTGTATGGAAGATCGACAAGAGCACGGCAAGTATGATCCACACCAAATCCTGGAGATCGAAGAGTCCAATGTAAATAGTGGGATATATGAAGAAGATAGAAAGGGGAATAGAATAAATTAATAGATGGCACCACCAAATAATCATGCTGTGTCAGCCCAACAGGATATTTAATCCGCCTTTGTTCCCGGCGACGTCACACCTGACATCACCGTGACAAAACAGTCAGCTCTCACAGTTTCCAAGTCAATTTTTACTGAGATAATTGGAAGACATACTGCTTCAATTACATTCAACACATTCAAAATGACAAGATCCATACTCTCCGTCAATGCGGGGTCATCCTCCGTCAAAATCACCTTCTATAACTTGGAGAACCCGCCAAGAGCTATCGCAGATGCGGAGATCTCTGGGATCACCGCACCCCCTTCATCGTTCAAATACCAGAAGGGAGCTTCCAAACACAAGGAGGAGCTTAAGGAGAAACTGAACACACCCCAGGATGCATTCAGTTACCTCTTGAAGCGCTGTTTCAGCGATCGCGAGCTCTCCGAAATCGCCAGCGTCGACGATCTAGCTTATATCTGCCACCGCGTCGTCCACGGAGGGGATTATCATGAAGCGGTCGAGATCAATGACGAGACACTACACCACCTTGAAGCATTGGAAGACCTCGCGCCACTGTAAGCTTGTCACCTTTCGACTATATTGTCTGCTCCCCACTATATATATTCACACTGTACTAACCCATTCCACCAACAGCCACAACTTCTCCGCTTTGGAAATTATCCGTCTCTGCAGGACTGAACTACCGAAAGTCAAGAGCATTACCTTCTTCGATTCAGCATTCCATCAGACTATCCCCGAACCCGTATACACGTACCCTATCGATCAGGAAATCGCCAAGGCGAATGGACTGCGCAAGTATGGATTCCACGGAATTAGCTACGGGTTTATCCTACGCTCGGTTGCGCAGCACCTAGGTAAGCCGGTAGAGAAGACGAACATCATTGCCATGCATGTTGGCAGTGGAGCTTCGGTTTGTGCGATCAAGGATGGAAAGTCGATTGATACCTCGTGAGTACCCTGCTGTATATCTATATCAAGTTGAACTTTCGCTTACACCATGGTTAGTATGGGACTCACACCTCTGGCGGGATTGCCAGGCGCATCGCGCAGTGGAGATATTGATCCCTCGTGAGTTGATCCAACACTTCCCATCCACGTCGCAGCGATACTGATAGAATATGCCTCGTGTTTAGATTGGTATTCCACTACACCAACGAAGCAGGCAAACTAAGTCCAGCAAGCACCAAGGAGATGCACATCAGTACAGTGCGTAGTAACCACCCCAGCCAAGACCATCAAGGACATCGAATCTAACCAACCCGCAAACGCAGGCTGAAGAAATCCTGAACAAGAAATCCGGCTGGAAAGCACTAACCGGAACAACCAATTTCGGCGAGATCGCAGTCGCCGACCCACCCACCAAAGCGCACAAACTCGCATTCGACATCTTCGTTGACCGCATCCTAGGCTACATCGGAAACTACTACGTGAAGCTAAACGGGCAAGTGGACGCGGTCGTCTTCGCCGGCGGTATTGGCGAGAAAAGCGCCCTGCTACGGCAAACACTAGCAGATAAGCTCCAATGTCTGGGCGTGGCGGTCGATGCAGCAGCTAATGATAAGGGGCCTGGGGACGACGAGACGGTGAAGGACATATCTGCCGGTGGAGGCAAGGGGCCCCGGGTTTTGGTTTGTCAAACTAATGAGCAGGTAAGTGTCTCACAATCCAGACGTTCGATGATACAATCGGTGTGGCGAGAAGTGCAACCCTTCTGGCGTGTTTACGCCGGAGTCTTGATTTGGGGTTCGATTTTGGCTAACATGGGGTTGTATTGCAGTTCGAGATGGCATACCGCTGCGTCTGTACGCGGAGCTGAGTTCATCATATGCGAGGTGTCGAGTTTTGCGCGCGGCATGTATTTCAAATGACATGGATAGACGAGAGTGGCTGGGAAGCTGGACAATGGACATACCTCTAGATTACGATTGATAATATTGATGGCCCTGCCCGTACATACCCGTATCAACTTAATCATTCCAAATAGTCAAACCTCTCAAGATGTGACATAGTTTGCGTCCTTTTGACATCGGGGAAGGGGAGGTGTACATGTATTTGTGTGGCTGGGGTGACAGGTAGTCTCCGACGCGTCAAGTCTCAGAAACCCAACCTCAGTCCCGGGTGGATCAGACCCGGAAATTGGGATATTGGGATCGGGAAGAAGCAATGCGAGAGTGCTAGTGATCCAGGTACACGGTCATATTTGCGCCTCAATGCAGTGCATGATCATTCCACATTGTAGTGTATGTACAGGTACAGTACATGTTAGGGGAAGAAAGCCAAAGCACAAAGTCCCTGCATACCAAAGGACCAAGACGGGGGTGGATGCAGTGTACCCTATACACCGCTATCATTGGCCTAGACAGCCCAAGTAAAATAGCCTGTAATGTTAGGAATGATGTGACATATCTACTGGACCAGGTTGTCGGAGCGGGTAGTTCCCCGGGTCTCTGCAAGATCGATCGCGTTCAACCATGGTCCTGATCTGCAGGCTAGCGGTTTAGGGAGATGTGTATTGCTCTGATCCATGGTCTACTGTATCTAAGTGTACTGTATGTTCCTTTCAAGGTTGCAATATGTAGGCATTTAACTAAGGGTGCATGGCAGTGATCGCCAGACCGGGTGTTTCCTTTCTTTTTTTTTGCATGTCGTACAGTGTGCATGGTACATGTACAGCGTACATATCCTCTCACGTATGAGGCTGAGGTGTGACGCAGAGAGTACTTTTGATCATTCCCAGGGGGTCCCCATGCAGTAAACGGATACATCAACCAGCCACTTACAAGTGGCCGCGGAAGGGGATGAGAAGCCGACCTAGCGAGTGGGTCGTGCAAGATTGATTGTATCAACATTGTACTGTGTGTGGCTCGATCAGTCATACTCCCTGCCTCATGTCGTGGTGGGTAACAAAAAAAAACTAAGTTCCCGAAGTCAGGGGAGGAAATAGGGGGACGATCGAACCCGACGCGGTGGTCAATGGAGCGATCATCATGTAGGATTTCCGCGGTTATTGGGATGTGGGTTGTGGCCTGTCATTGTGAAGCCAGAATCTCTCCACTTCTTTGTTGGTGTTCGAAAATCCTTCTAAATCAGGGAGCTAAGAATTGAGATACACACATCTTTTTGGTTCGGGACGCGGAACGCGGTTCCCATGTCAATCCCGAGTTTGTTGGCTTCATTTTTAACTTCCTTAACGGAGTAAGGCGGATTACTGCCGTGGACACCACCCACTATTGGCAGACCACTGCTACCATCAAACTATGGAGTGCATAGTCTTCTAGAACTTTCCGTCTATGGAGCCTAACTCTAGAGAGAATGGAGAAATTGTACTTAGATCGCCCGGCTTCGCATCCGCGGAAGCCCTAGTGCGCCATTCCCCTGTGTCTAGTCATCTCCCAAAGAAAAACAAATCAATCTGAAGCCACATAGCACCCCAAACAATGAGAAGAGGAAAAAGCAAACAGAAACCAACACAGACACATAACAGACCCAATTTTAGGAGCAATGACACATCCACAATCCTGTCAAATAAACAAAGAGCCGGCTGGCGCGAAGATGCATCCGGGCCAGGGGACCCCCTGCCTCAATCCCAACGCAAAACACGATAGCTAACATGATCTGGATCCGCGACCGTTCATTCGACTCCCTTGAGATTTGAACGCCACTGCGTAGATGCTGCACGTATAGGGCCGCGACAGTGCGGATACCAGAGAAAGAAACAAAAAAAAAGACCAAATTGGAAGGTGAGCTACATTACGTCTAAGATGTTCCGGAACAGATGGAAGCCGGTTCATGCAACGGGTAACCTTGTTTTGTAGACTAATGCATCGACCCGAAGTCTGGAGACTTTTCTTTACCGTGCCTGTTGAGGTTACTCTGTACTAAGAACTAGAGGGTTTCGGGGCAATCACGAACCACAGCCCTGGGTCTCGAATCTAGATACCGTTATGAGTCTAGTTCCTGTTTCTAACCTGTTCACTTCTTGAAATTCAGTCTATCATGGTCCAGCCTCACCAATACAGTGCTCCGTACCTCCATACCTCCATACAGCATCCTAAATGGTGAAAAGGGGGAAGAAACCTAATTGGGACCATTAAGGTTGACTAACTGATGGAGTCTCGCAGCAGTTTTCTCCCGTTTCTAGCGTCATTCTAGTCGTAATCGAAATGGAGTCTTGCCGAGTCCCTATAGCCAGAGGGGGGGTCCACTATGGAAGAATAGGAAGCTCGTTTCCCTTAACAATTGGACACTTGGTCATTTTTGGTATCGGGGAACACCAAAGTCCGTAAATACCGTTCCTATGACCTATTTTTTATGGGCCATGGCCCACAGGGGATGATCGCCAATTCTATCCGGGAATGCGAAGTGTTCCCCTATTCCCGAGGTCTGTCTCGGGACTCAAGGAAAGCCAGGTCTTGAGTAGAGTGTTTGCGCCGGGAAACTGGAAGAGGACGTTAGATTCCGCGAATGGTTTAGCCACCCAAACGCCCGTCTTGTGTATGGGTTCGGAACTTCCGTTGGTCGCGTTGCAAATGGGTCTTGATCTTTGGTCAACGGTCCTAGGCTGCAATCGACGATCTCCGGACCCAATTACCACGAGGGAGAAACTCAGATTACCGATTCCATTATATCCATTGGAGGGTAATCCTCCTTTTGACGAGGTGGACCATAAGCTGAAACCAGCCTACGAGACTAGGACCGGGGCAGGGGGAGCGACCCGTCACGGATAGGTACACTTTACCTGTAATTGTGGCTGGATTATGTGTCGGCCCCATTGTGGCGAATTCAAGCTGTATAGCTGTACCCTTAATTAGGGGATATGGGGGTGGGTCAGGAACAAGTCCAGAATGTTTCCCTGTCAAGGTATTACGACCCATGGCCCCGGGAACTAGAAGGCCAAAAGAATGTTCACGTTCACGTAACGGAGGCGGGATTTCATACACTTAGCGCCTCCCCACCCCCTATGATGGAGACTCCTGTTTTTTTTTTCCTTTCCCTTTCTTCGAGATAAGAAAAGTGATGAAGAGACGAGACAAGAGACGAGATAAGCGACGAGATTCAAAATCAGGCGCCTAAAAGACCGGCTTCGTTCTGATCTGTAACAGGGGGTGGGAAAAACACGATGCAAGTCCGAGATGAAGGTTGCGACTGGTCTTACCGCAATAAATGGTGAATTGCACGGGGAACCGCGTTAGAGGCCGGATGTCTGGCCTTGATTGAATAAAATACTTGGTGTTGGCTAGGGGACCTCCCAGGGCTTGACCTAGGCATCATATGTCAGCCCCTGTCTATATACCCACGCGAGAATGATATACGTAAAGATCCATTTTCTCGTTCCTGCGGCTGATCTCCACTTATGCACAAAGGTCCGGAGATTTGGTGGAGTGATACATAAGAGAAGAGCTAGATGCATCCAAGATTAAATTGTGATGAATCAAAGGATCAGGATCTATGTGTATGTATACATGTAAGAAAGGGGGACGCGTTCCTCTTCCCCGGGGCCAGGGGACGGGAGAGCCGCTGTGCTAAACAAAGAAATATTGAGGTGATTATCATTTCATTTATTTTGTCTTTTTCTTTTTTAATTAGCATTTTAGGCCATTTTTTAGTTTCTTTTTTCCTCGATTTAACGATTTACGATTTACGATTTACGACTTACCCATTTCTATTTTTCTGTTTTATTGAATTGGAAAATATAATTACAATAAATTCTGAAGATCAACTCCCCTAGAGGGAAAAAAAACCCTCTATATCAACATCATTTCCCCCTGCGATTTTAATTCTTTCGACATACCTAACCGTCTCTCCCTACTCCCCTTCCTTCTCCCTTCTCCCTTGCGATACGTCGATTGCTTTTTTGTACCGGATCGACCGGAGCCACTTCCGGAGCACTTCTCCTTGCTCCCTTGCCGTTCATATCCCTTCTCGCCGTTTTCTTGGTTCAGATCGAGATTTCTATGGATTAGCTGCAGCTATCCTTGTACCATTTGATTGGATTTGATCTTTTTCCCACATAAAAAGCAACCTGTCCGACATCTCGAGAAAAACTTTCCCTGATTTGTCGGGTTTCGTCACATTCCTGCCCTACGATTCTGCTTGCTCCCGCATTTGTCCCAAGTGGTTATCCTTAAAAGGGTCACCTTTTCCGATCTCGACTGCACCTGCATCTGCACCCACCAGTTTTTGTCTAGACCTTTTTCACTTCGGGGGGTGGATTGGGCCTTTGATTGCTTGGAGATTTATCCATATAAGAACCGTGTTTCGTCGTTGTTTATCGGTGAGTCTCAACCATTGCATTCTTCGCCCTGCAATCGTAATACTCGTTTCCCCCCGGTTTTCTCGCCTTTCTCTAATCATGCTTGCCTCTGCAGACCTCAACATGATTCTCCGAGACCTTTCGGCCTTCAACATGGGACGCGGCGCATACGATACAACTGGGGTGAAGAAGCCTGGTGTACCTCCACCACAACCGAAATAAATTTCGGGATCCCTCGTCATACTCAACATTGCTTTCTACACCACTCGGTCATGTTTTGGATTGTCTGGCGCCCAACAGTGGCTGGAGTTTTGACGCATATGCGTTTGGAGTTTTACTTGATTTTGGTAAGACCAACTCACCTCACTTTTTGGGCACCAAAACTAACACGGTCTAGATATCTGTAACACTATTTTCGTCTCAGCCATACTTCTTTCTGCCTCCATAGGCTTCACGCGACATTATACCCTTTTTAATTCGGCTCGACCTCTCTGCATTTTCTTTTCGGATACCAAGCGTGGACACTTGTTTTTTGACAGCTTTTATTTTCGCCTGCGCCTACGCGCCTTATTACTTATTTCGGGCCCTCAACCTTTCATCCGCCTCACCTCACCTTCTACCTACCTCTGATACGACTCGATACCACGGTCCAACCTCTCAAAAGT